CACTTTTTGTTAAAAATGACTTACTTTTTTTACATAAATCAATTTTTTTATAATTACACAATTTATTTACATAAAAAATTACGTAATATTTATAAATTAAATTATAGTTATTAGGTCCACCATCTTATTGTAAACAATAGAAACCTAATTTTAAGGAGATAGAATAATCTAATTCTCAGGCATCGATATATATGAATAATCATTTACATTAAAATTATTTTATCTATTATTTATAGGCCATTGTCTTGTTTCACTTACAGGGACCCAAACAAAAGTCTCCTTAAATCACCAACTTGGTACCCTTTCCACCGCACAACCCTCTCAAGGTTAATGATAATATTTAAATTATAATTTTTATATTATTTATTGGCTATTATGTGTATCTATAGGGGCCCAAACAGAGACACTAACCTTACAAAGGCCTCAATTCGATTCTGTTACGTCAACCGATGAACCATTAATCATCAAGAATCTGTCAACCCCATATCTCAGTTTAGTTCAGAATTACAAATACCTTTCAAGTATTATCTCATATCGAAAAGAAAAAAAATTAAATGCAGATGTAAAAAGTTTTTCCTTATTAGATAATAACATTCAGCCATCAAACTTTAATACAGAAATAGCATATGAATATATTATCAAGAAAAAATCGTAATTTAATATATCCAAACAAATATTTATATACAAACGATAAATTTGGATTTATGTGTAAAAGTAGGCTGAAAACATTGTCCTGGAAGAGGTACTTTATTAAATAGGAGCTTTAAAATGACAAAGACTCCCAATTACTTTGATAAAGATGATGAAGAGCACTATGCGATATTAGTAACCATGAACAAACATAAGGATCAAATTCGATTATATCCATATCAAAACAAAACAAAAAACTTATTGTCAAGTTATACATATCAGAGAAATGGATCCAATTGCCCGTCGAAAAGCATTACCAGCTTTTTCATCTGTTAAAATTATTATGCACCGTATCGTTAAATCAATTGCACAAAGTAAATGATATCTCACGGATTTAAAGGCATAATTCATAAGAGCTAATGCACACATAACTAGTTACCGTTACATCCTTAAATAATTAATTAGTTAGACATTTTTAAAAACATTGAAAGTTATTTTATAAACTTTTTATTGTAAATAAAATAATTTTGCAATTTACCAATTTTAATTAAAGGAATTTAAATTATATAAAATATAAAGAAATAATTGCATAGGAAAAAGTTTATATGCATGGAGGGTTTTATTATATTTAATAAATAAAAATTTTAATTAAGGGAAATTATTGAAAATTATAGAGTAAATTTTGAAATATGCTTAAGATTCCAATCCCCATGGCTTAGGGGAATGATGTTAGGGAAACGAGTATCTTGAAAATAATCTTCACATATCCTCCGTCAAATTTTTTTTCTATATCAGAAGATAATCTGGTATTTGTGTTGTTTTTTAAAGGAATGGAGTGTGCTTTTTCTCTGTCAAGATATTTTCTCATGCTAAAAATAAGTTCAAGCTTTCTATCTTCTTTGAACTCTAATTTTATACAGAACCAATCCAACTTAAATAGCAAATAAATTATAACTGGTAGTATATATTCATTTTTATGGATGTGTTGGAATCTATTGAAAATAATAAAAATCAAAATATTAATTGTAATCAATATTTCAACTGTATATCTATTATCTATGTCTAACAGAATTGTATTAAGTGTATTTAAAGCCATTTTTTTAAGTTTATTGTAATAACTATCGTGGGAGTGAGATATTCCAAATGGTCAAAAATCGAAAGAGCCGTAATAACCGGTTCCATAAAATAAAATAATATATACATATCTTTTTTAATAAACACTAATAATATAATATTCATCTATGGAGGACTTTATCTGTAATTGGGATCAATAGCGTCACGGGAGGGGGGGGGGAGTGAGGGTAGCTCGAACCCCTGAAAAAATTTTTAAAAAATTTTAACTAAAAAAAGATAATTTTATAGCTAAAAAAAATCCCCGGCTCGGCCCAAATTATTATACACATATCTTGACCAAATATTTATTTAATATTGACTTGGCCATATTTTTTTACCATCTGGTATCGTTTTCAAAATGTGGGATATTTTTTACAACTTTGAAATTAAAACAGTACTACAAAAGTAAATTGAAATTTTCTTTATGCCATGTAAAAGCACAAATTTTTAAGTACTTTTTGACCAGGAAAAAGATTATACATAGTAGAACAGTTACATATGCCTTTAGTGGTTATTCAAAATTGATGGTGAAAATTTTCTCAAGCCACGAAGCAATATCTAAATGCAACTTCTGTTTGGGGATAACTAGATTTGAATATATGCATCATTTTTAATATCAAAAAATGTTGGAATTGTATTAATATCCACATTTTATTATAGATAGATAATTATATCACATTTTATTTTTAATCATAATTTAAATTTTATTATTTGATAAATTACATTTTTATTTTTTCATCCTCATTACATTTTTTTATCCCTTTATATATCTTTTTTTAAACAATAATAAAAAAAATAACTAACACAAATTGATCTATCAAAAAAATGTTAATATAAAATTTTGACCGATTAAATTTAAATACAAATTGATATATAAAGAAATAAATCAATTGCCAAAATAAATAATAAAATAACATCGATCAACATATTCAACATTCCACCCTCCAAAGAAATTTGGCTTATGATTTCCTTGGGTAAGTTGAGTGGTAACGTCATTAACATTCATGATCACCAGGTAATACGCCACCCATGTTCATAGTGCAGTCTTCTTTTCAAACCGTACGATGGCTTGGTAAAGTAAAGACAACCCCTAGCTAATTTTCAAACCGGATCGCTTGTGCATGGCATCGGACATCTAGATTCCTTTCGAGCAAGGTTTATTTTATCGTGCTTCAGCCAGCAATCCAATTTCTTAGTCGTTGCATCGATCTTGGCGCACGGAATTCTCCTTGAAGGTATGATCTTAGGCACAGCATCGGGCTTCAAGTGAACTTTCTCTTGTCTGACCATTTTGGGTTTGTAGGAGTAAGTTGATTCGAGGTCTTTTTTTGTTGTCGAGATTATCTTCTCGAGATCATTCTCCACATTACCTACTAAGAACGTTTTTAAAATGTTGTTGAAGGTATGGAGCTACATACGTCCTAGCAGGGGGATCTTATCACAATCCACTACAATAGCCTCCAGTATATGTGAGTTTTCTTCATACTTAACGTTCACATTGGCAAGACCTAATATCTTGATAGCGCTGCCGTCATAACCAGTGAGTCTCATGTCCGTCTTACGTATCGCAGTTATGCCTATGGACTTAGCTGTCAACTTCGGAAGTATACTGTACCTGGTACCGGTGTCAACTTGCATCAACGTGGGTATGTTGTTGATGCTCACTGTAACGTTGTACGCGTCATATATGGTATCCTTGACCCCCAGATGGTGCACTTCCAAATTATGCAGATTATATTTTTTATAAGCTGTGTTTGAGTCGTCGTCATCATCAATTACTTCGATGTTCATAGCATGGTTCGTATTCATTTGACAATCACGATCTTTGTAATCAGAAGATCTATTGTAAGTATTATTGTCATTTTTGTACTGGTTGGGCCTCGACGAATATTTCGGAAAACCATTAATATTTTGAGAGTTGTGTCTGTGCTGACCACGACGGGGATAGTTGATTCGGTTATCACCTCTATAGCAGTCATTCCGTCGATCAGGGCTTTGATGATGGTCACAATGAGAGTCGTGGCGATTGACATGGACGTTGTACCCGCTATTGTTGTATCGATCGTCGTAGTAGTTATCGTTGCGATTATCGAAACGGTTGCGGTTATAGTGACAATTATCGTAGCTTTGATCAAAACGATTGTCGTGGAAGTTGCTGTGCCATCCGTTGAATCGTTTGTCGCGGTCGTTGTCGTAGCGTCCGTTGAATCGTTTGTCGCGGTCGTGTCGTAGCGTATATCGTAACGTTTATCAAATCGTTTGTCACGGCAATAGTCGCAGCGTAAATCGTAACGTTCATCAAAATACTGTGCGGGGCGATTGTCATTGATAAACTGGGGTTGCTTGATAAGAGATTTACCATGTGCGTGAGAGTTCTGAATGGGGTTTGTTGCTACGTAACTATTTTTGACTCTGCCCATGTGATTAACTTCTTGTACACCAGGTGATTCATTCAAATGTAACAATTTCATCTCGCCCTTGTTCCACTTGGGTCCGCGGTGTTTTCCTCTAGACCTAGATTGTAAATGTCTTCTATGGTCATAGAGCTCTTGACCTCTTTCCTGACATCTTTGGAATACGAAGATACTCTCACTTTCTCAATAATTCTCTGAATGCCATTAAATTTACATTCTTTATTGAGTCGTGCTACGCGCGTGACCCAAGCCGAGAATGTCTTATCCTTGCCTTGAGTTGCAGCATAAAATAATGATAGTTTAGCGTTCTCGGTCTTCGATAGATGTTGTAACTTGAATTTGCCAAGTCGATTGGGTCCTGGAAGTCTTCCTCAGTAAAAATTGCCCCAATATTATTGAATTTGTCATCTGGAAGACTTCGGAGAAATAAAGCGGCCTTTTCTCCGTTGGAGATCTTGCTGGTGTTGAAGAAATTTTGCAATTTCCCTATGTAGGCCTGTCATCGCTACTAAATTTGAGGAAATCCGGCTTGAAAAATTCAGTCATATATGTGGAATTGTTCAAAGCATCCATCATAAGACAATTATAATCGATAAAGCCGTAAAATAGAATAAATATACATTGCAAAATCAAGATCAAATTTTGAAATACTTACGCAAAGTTCAGACGTAGATTGGCCTCCATGTTGGAAATTATTAATATCCACATTTTATCATAGTTAAAAAAATATGCATAGTTGTTTTTCATGCCATAAAAATATTTTAAAGCTATTGTATAACCGGTCATGGCGCTTTTGAGCTTTCTTAGCGCAGATGACCTCTGAATTCATTCAATCATTTTTTTTTTCATTCAATTCTAAAAAGAAAAACTAGTAATTTTTATTTTATTTTCATAGCTTACAAATATTTCCGAATTGCAAGGAAATGGCTTTCTCACTAAAAATTTATTATGTAAAAAATCTCATTAGTTATTTAAAGTGTAAAACAGTTTATTCTTTAATTAGATGTATATTGTTAATCCTTATTTAAATTTTTTATTTTATGCAAAGATATGTTTTTTAAGACTTCTATAATTTCATATTCTTGCAACTTTTTTATCCCATTAATAACGTTATAATATATTAATAATCATAACATTTGAAAATTTTTAGTATTTAATATTTACTTATCAATATTTTTAATTAAAATTGCACAATAAATTGAATAAAAAAGTATTATTTTATATTTTATTTTTAATATCAAATTTATTACAACAATGCATTCAATAAATATATATCCCAATTATCAATGAATCAAACAACAATAGTGTTTTTTTTTTAAATTTGCAAACTTTTATAAATTTACCCCTCATGATCTCAAACTTATAAATATAATAATCTTAACAAGTTACAATATTTTTAAAAAATATTTTATAAAATATACCATATATTTAATAAATTAATATTCTTTTCTATTTTTTTAAATATGCATAATGCATCAGCTTAGATTTAATTGTTTATATCTCAATATTGATTTATGATTTGGAAATAAAAATGAAGACAACAGACCTAAATTTTCTAAGTTGAGATTGGAGTAAGTCTCAAATTTAAGATAAATTATTTTTTAATCACTTAATTAATTAATTCATAGTTGAAGTTTTTAGTTGTATAGGATAGAGTTAAAAATTATTTTCCTAACAATATATTTTTATATTTTAAAAAGAAACATGCTCCATTCAAATTTCAATTTTTCTTTCAAAATAAAGAAATAATAGAATTATTTTCTCTCTTATCATTGGTTAAATTATATAAATTTTAAATCTAACCTCCAATAGAAAGATGAAATTCAATCATGATGTTTGAAGATTTTTCCGAATTTTATTATTATTCTGCTTTAAACAAACTTTTCCCCTCTACCTTTAGTTATTGTCCTTTCAACCTTTCAACTTGTCTTTAAACTAGCAAGCCAAATTAATGTTTAAACCTATCTGATTAATGAGATATGAATAAAGGTCCCATTAGTGTTTGAAAACAATATCAAGGTACCAAAACCTTGGAAATTATTATTTACATTTGATCTAAGCAATTAATATATGCTAACCCTAGCCCACATCTGGCATTAGAATCCAATTGCCCATTAGTGTTTGAAAACAATATCAAGGTACCAAATTCTTGGAAATTATTATTTACATTTGATCTAAGCAATTAATATATGCTAACCCTAGCCCACATCTCGCATTAGAATCCAATTAAAATTAGGGAAATTTTTTAAATGAATTCATGCTGCATCAAAAGTATACATGATTTTTTAAAATCATGATGTAAATGAAATGTCTAATAATTGTTCTGCTTCCACAAAAAAATGATTCTTAAAATATTTATCATATACTAAATTGGCCATGATTTGATGCTATTTTTTAATGACAAATATTACTTTCAAATATTATATTGTCAAAATATTTCCAACATAATTGTGATCACTACAGAAATTATAACCATTATGATTTTAGGTTCTGATTCTAAAAATATTTAAAATATGATATGAATATGATTTGTGACAAAAGAATTTTTTTTTCATTGAACAAAAGTATATTTATATATTGAACATTATTTTCTATATAAAAATAAGATATAATTCTATAATAACAAATTGAATTCTTTTTAAATCTAATCCTCTAGTTAAAATATCATTCAAACTATTTTCAGAATTTTGTTCTCAGAACTCGAGATTTCGATAATATATATCTAGACCTTTGTTCCTTCTATAAATCTTTAGGCTTGCGTAATATTTTTCTGGATAAAATATTGAGTTAGCCGGTTTTAAAAATTGGCTCAAAACGAGTCATTTAATAGGTTTTCTTTAATTCTACAGTATTTATTTGTTGAGGGCCATTTTTGAACTTAATTTGACCGAAAATATATTTCAGCATGAATTTCATACAAATTTGTCTTTAACTTTTGAATATTTTATTTTTTATTATATATATGAAAAATTTATGTAGTAGTTGGAAACCTGCAGTATCACAACCCGCCTCGTCCTGTAAACTTGGCCTACAACAGGGCGATTAATATGATATTATAAATTCTGGCTAAACCAGGCTTAAAGAATTCGAGCCAAACCAAGTTGAAGATTTTAAACAATTGGAAATTTCGGTTAATTTGAAAAAAATAAAAATTTAAACTATATCAATTCAGTTGGAAATCATGAGGCGGTTAATATTCATTTACTACTCATATTTTCAATTTCCCCCATTTAGCCAAATACAGTCAAAATTATTCATATTAATTACATTTTTAAAATTTGGGGTTGGGCAGAAACGTAATAAAATACATAAATCCAGGCTGAGCTAAAAAATTTTTTTTATTAAATCTTGGCTGGGCCTAAAATTTTAATTTCTGTAATAAAAATTTATTAATTTGAGAGTAGTTTAAAGGTGTATGGTAAAATTATGTGAAATCCATATATTAAATATAAAATAAAAATACGTAGCAATTTGTTTATATATATAGTAGAAAAATATGATTAGAAACCAATAATGAAAGGGATAATATTAAGATGTAAAAAAATTTAAAAAATCATAAGGAAAGGTATAAGAATTTGATTATAAAAATATATTTAGTGGGAATATCCTGATAAACTATGTTAGAAAAAACAAATTAAATTATTATCTAAAAGTTTACCCTGATTATATGCAGGTAATATCAATATTGCTGTTTTTTATGAGGTGCATCAAAATGTACATCTATATATATATTTGACCAAAAACAAAAAAAGGTTCATGCATGTATAAACAAACATAGGTAAATGTTTGAATCTTTCCTTTATTTATATAAATAACAAAAGCCGATACTGTGATTTTTTTTTAAGACAAAAGGTAAATGCGTATCGATAAGAAATAAATCAATCATAGGTTTAAAAAAGCGATAGCCCTTGTTAGACTCTGACATAATTTCAGCTTCTAAATGTTTAAATAATCCTTTGATAATCAAACATGTTCCTTTACATGACCCATTTTTAGTTTTCATAGCAATACGGTCAAAAATTATACGTGAAGAGGAGACATGCTTGAAGGAGTTTGGGAATGCAAAACCATAGGGTAGTTGTTATAATAATCAGGGGCATCAAACACGATAAAATTAAAGCTTAGATATGATTTGATGAGCCCTGGAATCAATTAGAGTGAAGAGCAAAACTATTTTTGAAAGTTAATGTGATGGAATAAGTTGTTCATTATTGGCTTCAAGGGCAAAAATGGTTCATTGTCGAAGTCGGCAGACATATTTTCATCACAAAATAAGCATTTCTTATCTTAGGAATGGATTTTGGCACCAGGGGGCCACTCGCAAAATTTTTGCCAGGGTGGATCCAATTTTTTTAACAGTAAAAAAAGTGTTGGGTTTTTATGTTTGAAAATAATAATTTCAAAACTATTGGTAAAATTTTTATTAGCTTTAAATTTGCCAGGATAGTCAAAAATATTTAAAATAATATTATATTCATTAATTAATATCAGAGACCTGCATAGGTACCATTTGTACGACCCGGCCCAGATTTTTTTTTAAAAATTTTTTCGGCCTGGCCCGTTTTTTTTTTAAAAAATTTTCAGGCCCAGCCCGGCCCGGATATTTTTAAAAAAATTTTTTAGGCCCGGACCGGATATATTTAACAAAATTCACGGGCCGGGCCTGCAGGTCTCATTAATATTACAAAATCAAATGGAAGATACCGATACATCTTCTGAAACTATCTAGATGCAGATGCTTTTTAAAAGTGTATCTAGATATATATATACAGCCGGTTTAAAATGTGGATTAATTTACTTTAAATCCGATTCTCCTCAGCCCAAAAATTACTTTTTTTTCAAATGATTAATCACCATATATTATTATTATGTAAATATCTGTATTTGAAAGAGCGGGAGCTCACCAATTCTTACTCTCCCCTCCTTTATTATGTATATTATTTAATAATTTTAAAAATATTCAATTCGTTGACATTATTGAAATGTTTATGCCTTTCGGAGCTCTACTACATTTATATAGATATTTACGTGAATAGTTTATGGCTTTACCCTTTAAAATAAAAAATTAAGTAAAAAGGATTTATATTATATGAGAATAGAAAACACAACTGCAAAGCAATGACATTGATGATTCATTAAAAATGTACATATATTGAAGTCAGCTCTAGTCAATGTCATAAAAATATGAGAATGACTAAGAAGCAAAAATGTTACACGCTCGGGGAAATTTTTAGATTATTATTAGTAAGTTCATTTGTTATTCGCCAGACATAATTATAATTTTGTTGAATGGAGGTTAAATGGTGGCTTAAATTTCCATTTATCTAAATTTAATTCTTGGATATATACCACTGATTTGGTAAGCATATTTCTTTTGACACGTATTGCTCGGCAAAAATAAAATAAAAACACGTTAGAGGGCCCTGGTACTCGGGTTCGCGCAAACATGGGAGTGAGCGGAGCACCTAGGCCCCCGAAATAGTGATAATAGCTCAACTAAAGGAATGTTCAAACGAAGGAGATTTTTTAATTGGTTATAATATATATAAAATTAAACAAGTATCTTAAGTAAGAGTGAGATTAAATAGAGATATGTGTTAAGGTTAATTAAATGTTTGAGAGATATGAATTAGGGTAAAGATATTTTAAAAATGGTTTTTAATAAATTTTAATAGTTTTAATTAATAACCTGTCATATTTGACAGGTCATGTAATTATAAACAAACAAATGATATTTTAAATAAATCAGCTTGTGCTTGCTAACGGCAATTTCCTTGTGTTGGACGATAATCCAAAAGTAGACGATTTTGGCCACCAAATCCTAGACTTTATGGATTGTTATACTTTAAATTACCCTAAACTAAATTGAGT